AACTCTTTCTTGTATATTTTGCTGCACTTTATCAAAATCTTCTCCTAGAGTATGCTGGGAGTACAGATTTTCATAGATTTCTTGAAAGTGATTTGCAATATTCTGGGCCCCAACTTCTCCATCTATACAATTTGAAATTGTTGTATTTTGTCCCCGGAATTTCTTAATTTCTTTGAATATATCACCTCCTCCATTGAGCAATTTTTGAGTAAATTTATCTTGAAGTAAATGACGTTTGGCTCTCTTTAATCTTCTTATAGAATATTTATATTGCATGTGAGCATTTCGCTGCAAAATAAACAGTTTACATTCTTTTTCTTTAGAAAATGGAGGCGGTAAAGAACACATTGCACGATAAAGGAATAGAAACGTTGCCACACATTTCTAACCCCTATATATATCTTTGGAACCCAATTTCATAGACCTTAGATATTTTTTGTACTATTTATTAACTCTGTTAGATCAAATAATCTAATTTTAAAATATAATAGGTGTACGACGTACGAAAGGTTGCAAAGATATGGGGATTAGAAAATTTAAGTTTGTGGCAAAGGTTCCATTCCTTAGGAATATTAAGTGTTTCTTTTTCGATTGCTCCCTCGGCATCACTTCATATTTAACAATAAAAAATTAATGATTATAATGCGGTAGGACCCATTAGTGGTTAATACAGGCTATACAAGCCTAATTAATTATATTTATTGTTAGAAACCATTTAATATTAATATTACTATTCTACGTTTTTACAAGAATATTTCTATAGTCGGGGAAATAAGAAATCAGAGTAAGCGTAATCAGAGTATCAAGAATATTTAGAAGCTAAAACTGTTTGATATTTAGTTTAGATTTGGAGTATATGATACATAGAAAAATGTTAGTCTATAAGCCTAATGAAACACAATATGAATTATTAAATAAACAATATATAAAAACACCAAGGCACAAAATTAAATCTTTTATATTTTTACAAATTATTTTGCATTATGCCTAGTTTTTGTTATACTTTTTATAAATTAACGTGTAATATAATATTAATCTATTCATCTTGATCAATCCTTCTTGAAGGATTGTTAATAATATATTTGATTAATGTGTAAGCTACCAATTCACATTCTTCTTGAAGGATTGTTAATAATATATTTGATTAACGTGTAAGCTACCAATTCACATCCTTCTTGAGGGATTGTTAATAATAAATTTGATTAATGTGTAAGCTACCAATTGTTAATACTATATTTGATTAATGTGTAAGCTACCAATTGTTAATCATATATTTGATTAATGTGTAAGCTACCAATTGTTAATAATATATTTGATTAATATGTAAGCTACCAATTCACATTCTTCTTGAAGGATTGTTAATAATATATTTGATTAACGTGTAAGCTACCAATTCTCATCCTTCTTGAGGGATTGTTAATAATATATTTGATTAATGTGTAAGCTACCAATTGTTAATAATATATTTGATTAATGTGTAAGCTACCAATTGTTAATCATATATTTGATTAATGTGTAAGCTACCAATTGTTAATCATATATTTGATTAATGTGTAAGCTACCAATTGTTAATAATATATTTGATTAATGTGTAAGCTACCAATTGTTAATAATATATTTGATTAATGGGTAAGCTACCAATTGTTAATAATATATTTGATCAATGTGTAAGCTTGATAACATTAGAACTTTTTTAGCAATTAATATATAAAATTTTTTAATCAAATTCATTTTTAATGCAATTTTTTCAGGACAGCAGAATGCAGGGGGGAAAGGGAAAGGTAAGTCAACATTTTAATTCGAAGTGTTTTAATAATTTAAATTATTTAAAATTCAAATCATAATTGACACAATGTAATGTGTATACATAGCATAATTAACATATTATACATTTCAAACTATAATCAATCATATCAAACATATGAAACATATTAAGCATATCGATCATATCAAACATAACAAACATATCAATCATATCAAGCATATAAAACATATTAAGAATGTCAAAAATATCAAACATATCAAACATATCAAACATATCAAACAAATCAATCATATCAATTATATCAAACATATCAAACATATCAAACATATCAAACATATCAAACATATCAAACATATCAAACATATCAATCATATCAAACATATTAATCATATCACACATATCAAACATATCAATCATATAAAACATATCAAACATATCAATCATATCAATCATATTAAGCATGTCAAAAATATCAAACATATCAAACATATCAAATATATCAAACTATCAAACAAATCAAACATTTAAAATGTATCAAATATCTCAACATATCTAAATTTCGAACACATCAAACAATTCAAACATATACAACTTATTATGCTGTGTTTAATCTTTAACTTGTCAAATATGCAAATATTTAAAAGTATAAAATGAACGAATTTGATACGAACATCCTTTTAAAGGGACAGACCGGCTATGTAAGGTAGTATGCAATGTTGTGGAAAAATTCTTTAGGATTCATTTGCGACATATAAAACTTTTTACAGATCTGCAAATCCTGAGTTTGAGCGCAAAGTCGACGTTCAAAATCGTAATTTAGGGTGGATACGTTTTCAGAAGTATTTTTTTTAAATATTAAATAACGACGACATAAAATGAAAACAAAATTCTACAGTAAACTATTAGTTGTTTAGGAACAGGTTGAGAAAATAAAAATTAATCTTATCATCGAAAATTAGTAATCTTATTCAATTATTAGTTTCTATTTTCTCATTATTCACAAAGATTTCCTGCAGATTTTTTAAAATTATTATTGAAAAGACAACATTTGAAAAATTTGTAGAAATTTGCGAATAAATTCATAGAAAATAAGGAGTTCAATATAATGATGAAAACGAAATTATTGATTCTAGCATTGATTTATTCAAAAATTTCTTTGAGAAATATGTTCCTAACCATCTCATTAGATTACTGTATAAGTCTTATTATTCGTTGTCGTTATTTAATATTTAAAAAAAACTAATTCTGAAAACGTAACCACCCAAATTCATGATTTTGAACGTCGACTATGCACTCAAACTCCGTAATTATACATTGGGGGAAAGGTTTACATGTCTCAAATGAATTCTATAGAATGTGTCCACAACACTACATACTCAGTTTAACTACCTTACAAAGCCGGTCTGTCCCTTTAAAGATAAGAAGTGCACAGTGCCCGTTTTTATTAGAGAAAGAATGTAAAATCTATAGATTATAAAAATAAACGTTCATCGTGCTTAGTGGATATATGCAATTCTATATCTTTTATCCGAACCTTTATAGGATACATAAATCTATATCTTTTATCCGAACCTTTATACGATACATAATTCTATATCTTTTATCCGAACCTTTATAGGATACATAATTCTATATCTTTTATCCGAACCTTTATAAGATACATGATTCTATATCTTTTATCCGAACCTTTATAAGATACATAATTCTATATCTTTTATCCAAACCTTTATAAGATACATAATTCTATATCTTTTATCCGAACCTTTACAAGATACATAATTCTATATATTTTATCCAAACCTTTATAAGATACATAATTCTATATCTTTTATCCGAACCTTTATAAGATACATAATTCTATATCTTTTATCCGAACCTTTATAGGATACATAATTCTATATCTTTTATCCGAACCTTTATAGGATACATAATTTCGTTTACGTTCCAGTAAAAATTAATGTTTGATGTTTTGAATTTGATTTATTTAATTTAAGTCTATTAAGTTTATTCAAATTATTTATTAGATGCTCTAATCTTTCAAAGTCTACCTAGTCTACCTATTCTACCTAGTCTACCTAGTCTACCTAGTCTACCTAGTCTATCTAGTCTACCTAGTCTACCTAGTTTACCTAGTCTACCTAGTCTACCTAGTCTACCTAGTCTACCTAGTCTACCTAGTCTACCTAGTCTATCTAGTCTACCTAGTCTACCTAGTTTACCTAGTCTACCAAGTCTACCTAGTCTACCTAGTCTACCTAGTCTACCTAGTCTACTTAGTCTACCCAGTCTACCTTAATTTGATCAGATATTAAAAGTATTGAACATAAATCCTGAATAAGAAGTAAATTAAATCTCTCCTGAAAATATTCAATGTCTGAAGTCTAGACACTTCTTCAGGTTTAACAGAAAATCCACCAATTCTTGTTTTTACTTCAGTTATAAACTTGGCACACAATATAATTGAGAAAAGAAAAAGAAATCTTTAAACCAAGAAACAACTGTATTCACTGTTAAGCTTCCCGATATTCGCTCTAAAGAAATTGTTAAAAAATGTAAGAAACCTTTATTTAATTAGTGCCATTTGTTACAGTGGTACCCACTAAACCTTAATCTGATCAATAACGTAGAAAATATTTCTATCAGCAGATATCAGCAAGTCATATTTATAGTAAACCCACAATGGTGAAACTAATCAAATTTCATTGAATTAATGATTTTTGCTCAGACAATTCATTTAAGGGTACCACTGTGATTACTACACGCCGCTTTATAAATAAACAGTGATAATCAGAAAATTTTGGAATAGAAAGACGACTTATAAACTCAAGATATGATTTTAAATAGTCAAATAAGAATGGGACACAGTAATTGTGCAATGTAAACAGACCCATTTTACTTAATTAGTGGTTTAATAAGTGTCTCGTAAAGCTATTTGCTTTGTAACAACTCTTAATGATTGCTATAAGGTCGTCTTCCTATTTCGGAGTTTTCTGGTTCTCATTGTAGGTTCAGTTGAAATTACATTTAAGGTTCCTTCAACAATTCCCGAGTTAAAGTTATTTGTTGCTCGTATTTTCTGGGAAAATTTATTTTCTGGGAAAACCAAAACTGAGATTATAAATTTACAGACAAATATTCTTCTGGATATTTACAAATCGTTATTTTTACTTTCATCAATACAGCGTTGACAACCCCTTTGAAAATGTAAAACTAAGAAATAAGTTTTAGGTTTTGCTGTTATGGTGTTCTTACACGGAGACAGCTACAGCTGGGGGTCAGCTGCACTTTATGATGCCAAGGTGCTGGCTACACTTGGAAATATCATAGTTGTTACCTTCAACTACAGGATAGGGTTGCTAGGTTAGTATATGTACAGGATAGGGTTGCTAGTTTAGTATATATACAGGATAGGATTGCTAGGTTAGTATATATAAAGGATAGGGTTGCTAGTTTAGTATATATACAGGATAGGGTTGCTAGGTTAGTATATATAAAAGATAGGGTTGCTAGGTTAGTATATGTATACAGGATAGGGTTGCTAGGTTAGTATATATATACAGGAAAGGGTTGCTAGGTTAGTATAAATAAAAGATAGGGTTGCTAGGTTAGAATATATACAGGATAGGGTTGCTAGTTTAGTATATATACAGGATAGGGTTGCTAGGTTAGTATATATAAAAGATAGTGTTGCTAGGTTAGTATATGTATACAGGATATGGTTGCTAGGTTAGTATATATATACAGGATAGGGTTGCTAGGTTAGTATATATAAAAGATAGGGTTGCTAGGTTAGTATATATATACAGGATAGGGTTGCTAGGTTAGTATAAATAAAAGATAGGGTTGCTAGGTTAGTATATATATACAGGATAGGGTTGCTAGGTTAGTATATATAAAAGATAGGGTTGCTAGGGTAGTATATATATAAGATAGAATTTTTCTTTAACTCGGTGATGGTGATGGGCCAAACCTCTGTAGAGTGAAAAAAGTAGATGTTAGTTCCACATTTATTGAAAATATATTTCGGTCTGGGTTGACCCTCGTCAGTTCTTGAGATTGTTTCTGTCACAAAGATTATGCTAGGTTAGTATATAATACAGGATAGGGTCGCTAGGTTAGTATATTTAATATATATACATCATAGGGTAGGGTTGCTAGGTTAGTATATATACAAGATAGGGTTGCTAGGTTAGTATTAACACAGGATAGGGTTGCTAGGTAATTATATCTAAGATAAGGTTTGTAGGTTAATATATATACAAGGTTTGTCTGTCGATGTCTGTTTTTTTGTTTGAATTTAGTAAACGACAAAATGGCTTAAACAATCAGACACAATATTTTGTGACAGCGCACATGACCCTAGGGAAGGTTTGGGGTCGGAATTGAAGAATTGAAACCCAGCAATGTGACAGGCAAATGCTCGAATTATTAAGTTTCTCCATTATGAAGACAAAAAAGTGGATTTGAAAAGCAGGATTTAAACGGTAAAATTGTCCCTGAAACCCTGAAATGTACAGTCGAATATTGAATATGAGGAGGGAGGATTTGCTTTTACAATTAAATTCAATTACCATGCCATTACCGATTCACAACAGTAACTTTTAGGAAATTGTTTTTGGTAACAGGTTTAAAAGGCACCATTAAACACACTCCTTACACTATATCTTAGGTTCACTGAACATTGCATTGACAACCCTTTTAACAATTTTCAAATAAAGAAAATATAATTTTTTCTTTTTTCCTGTTTTTATATCAAGCTTTCGTGTATTTCTAAAAATATTGAAAAATAATATATTTCTATTTTATTTCATATAATAGGAGGCCCATGATGTTTTACAAGTTGGAAACCAGATATTGGAAACTTAAATGAAAGAGAAAAGAAAACGGAGTTTTAATATATTTCACTAAAATAATAGGACAGAGTAGAAGTATCCGACCAGCGGACCATCCGTCCAATACAATTTAATTTTGTAATTATATCCATATCCATCCATATATATATGTTTAGGATACCCTGAACCTGAACTCTACTCTTTTAGGCTACATGAATCTGAACCCTACTCCATAAATGTTTAGGATTCCTGAACCCGAACCCTACTCGTTTAGGCTACATAAATCTGAACCCTACTCCATAAATGTTTAGGATACCTGAACCCAAAACCTACTCCATATTTGTTTAGGATACCTGAACCCGAACCCTACTCTATATATGTTTAGGATACCTGAACCCGAACCCTACTCCATATATGTTTAGGATACCTGAACCCGAACCCTACTCCATATTTGTTTAGGATACTTGAACCCGAACCCTCCTCCATATATGTTTAGGATACCTGAACCCGAACCCTACTCCATATATGTTTAGGATACTTGAACCCAAACCCTGCTCCTGAGAGACGGGGTTCTGTATCAAACTACGGGTTGGTTGACCAGCTTGCTGCTCTTCAATGGGTTCAGGAGAATATCCAAGAGTTCGGGGGAGACAAAGGAATGTTCTTATATTTTAATCTTCTTAAAAAGAACGAACAAAGTGAAAAGATTCGACGTCATTGATAAAACGATGAAGCTCCAAATGATAATTTCTTCTGTTTGTCGACCGTAAAAACAACTATTTTATTCAAATATTTGCACTTACAACTACAATTACAATCACACGCTAATACCAATAACAATACCGATACCAAGGCAAATACATAATGCGATTACAATTAGAATTGCATTTACAATAACAATTGCAATTACAATTGCATACTAAACGATGCATACCATTGTAATTGGATTACATAAAATGACTCAAGAAGGAATTAAAAAAATGCATATTAAATGAGAATGTATAGAGGTGGCTCATTCAACATATATAGTTTACAAAAGGGACTGTGGGCGTAATTTCGAGTGACCTTCATGCAAATTGGAAATGCCCGATTTACAACGGTACCCTTGAAAGCGTTGTCTCATCATGTATGTGTACTGTTTATTTTAATTGTGTTTCCTCGGCAAAAGAAAAGATAGAGAAACTATCAGAAATGAACACTTTTCGAGTCAGCAAAACGACATTATCCTTCACATTTTTGATCAGACTAAAATTTCAAATATACCGTCGGAAATTGAGCTTTGCCATCTCTAACTTTTTCATTTTTATTATTGTTTTGAACTGTACGATGAAGAAAGGTTCTTAGATAGATCTGTAACCCAGATCCGAGTAGTATTCAGCTGTGTGGGTAGAACAAATAAATGTATATATTCATCTCTAGAATGATCAAATGGATGAAATATGAAAATATTGAAAATATTATGAAAAGATTTATGGGCAGGGTATAGAAAGAATTTCTATTGTGGAGAATTGAAATATCTAAGAACAACGGTTTGAAGACGAATAGACAAAAATAAAAAAGGAGATGTGAGACTAAGGAATAAAAATGTAATAAAAGACCGAATAAGTTTTAAAAAGTAAAGGCGAGTTAAAATCGGGTAAATTCAAAATTAAGAACAATTGTAATTTCATAGAAAAATTAAGGTTGAAGAATGACAAGGATGATTATGCTCTTTAAAAACAAGCAAGAAAAAAGAAAGAAAAAAGGAATAGATTTTGAAAAAGAAAGAAAAATTAGCGAAATGAGTAATATGAAAAATGGAGGAAGTTCTGAAGAAAGGATAAAAAATGAGAGAAATTTAGAGGAAAGAAAGAAATAAGTAAATAAAAAATAAATAAGATTAAGGAAAATCTGAAGGTTTGGAGAAAGAGAAGATGAAATAATTTGAGAAACATTTCAGAGGAAAGAGAAAGAAAAGGTTAAGGTTGAAGGTTTGGTCTCCAAATTAGATTTGTCTCCGCAATGTTTTGTAACTCCTATTTACGAGGCAAATACAATAGGTCTACTCCAACCCTCTACTTTATACAGGGAGATATTATAGGATAAGGTGATCCACTATTAGTATACACTGGAGTACAGCTGCGCAGCGGAACATATGCATTAGTGTACAGTTGCACAGCTTGCCATTTACACAGGAGTGAAGCTGCACAGCTGAACATCTGAACTAGTGTAAACTGCACAGCTAGCCATTTACACTGGAGTACAGCTGCAAAGCTGACCATCTGCACTAGTGTACAGCTGTACAGCTAGCCATTAAAACTGGAGTACAGCTGCAAAGCTGACCATCTGCACTAGTGTACAGCTGCCACAGCTAGGCATTTACACAGTATGTACAGCTGCAGAGCTGGCCATCTGCACAAGTGTACAGCTGCCACAGCTAGCCATTTACACTGTATGTACAGCTGAAAAGCTGGCCATCTGCATTAGTGTACAGCTGCCACAGCTAGCTATCTACACTGTAGTACAGCTGCACAGTTAACCATCTGCAAAAGTTTACAGCTGCACAGCTAGCCATTTACACTGTAGTACAGCTGCACATCTGACTAGCTATATTAGTGTACAGTTGCGCAGCTAGCTATTTACACTGTAGTACAGCTACACAGCTAACCATCTGCACTAGTGTACTGCTAACGATTTAAACAGTATTACACTGGAGTACAGCTGTACAGCTATCCATTTACACTAGAGTAAAGCTGCACAGCTAACTATGTATCCAAGTGTACAACTGAACAGCTAACCATGCTAATCATAAAGATTGTACACTAATGTTCAGCTGAACAGTTAATCATGTATATTTTAAAAATTATGCTCAGCCGAGCAGATAACCATGAATATTTTAAAAATTATGCTCAGCTGAGCAGATAACCATGTACACTCATGTACAGCTGGACAGTTAACCACGTACACAAGTGTACAGCTGGATAGCTAACCATGTACACTAATGTACAGCTGGATAGCTAACCATCTGCACTAAAAAAGTGTACAGCCGCATAGCTAGCCATTTACAGTGTACTACAGCTGCACATCTGACTATCTACACTAGTGTACAGCTGCGCAGCTGGCTATTCAAACTGCTAAACAGCTAACGATATATGCAAGTATACAGCTGAACATCTAACCATGTACACAAGTATACAGCTAAACAGTAAAGTATGTACTCAAGTGTATACAACTGAACAAATAACCATGTCCGAAAGTGTACAGCTGAACAGTTTACCATGTAAACTAGTGTACAACTGAACTGCTAACCATGTACACTAGTGTAAAGCTTTAAAGATAACCGTGTACACTAGTGCATAGCTGCGCAGTAATCATGTACATGTACACAAATAGTTGAATAGCTAACCATTTACACAAGTTTACAGCTGTGCAGCTGACTATGTACAGTAATGTACATATGAATAGATCCCCATGAATACAATAAAGAAGACAGACATTAATATACAAAAGCTTTCTGTCTATTAAACAATAATTAGTTTTTTTCCTTATCTAAATCCATGGGATTTAATTCAAAATAAATGATGTAATTCTTGGAAACGCAATTTTTCTCCAATTGTAAAGTTCTATTTTCTGATTATTTTGTTTGCAAGCAATTCATTGAACAACAATGCGTATAAACAAGGAATCCTTTCATTTGATAACAACAAGAGAAGATTCATAGCTTTAATTTTCATTCAAAAATATATATTAGACTCTATAAGTTTCAAAATTACAATAAACAGAATTCTTTTTCCTTTTAAAGTTGAATTGTTGAAGATCAAGTTGAAAAGAATATGTGGAGTAGAACGGATAACCCTGGTTGGACAGGGCCGGGGAGCAGCATCAGTAGAATTCTTGGTTCACTCACTCATGGTTCGACAAACTCATTTCAAGAGAGTCGTTCTTATGTCGGGCAGTATCTTCTCTCCCTGGGCCAGGGTAGAGAACCCCTCAGAGGTTAGTTTATTTTTATACCCTCAGAGGTTAGTTTATTTTTATACCTTCAGAGGTTAGTTTATTTTTATACCTTCAGAGGTTAGTTTATTTTTATAATCGCCAGAGGGGTTAGATAACCCCTCAGAGGCTAGCTTATTTTTAAATTCGCCAGAGGGGTTAGATAACCCCTCAGAGGTTAGTTTATTTTTATATTCGCCAGAGGGGTTAGATAACCCCTCAGAGGCTAGTTTATTTTTATAAGGGGGGTTAGAAAACCCTTCAAAGGTTACAATTTCTTATTACATCTGCCAGAGGGGTAAAATTCCCCGTTGAAAGGTTACTCTTCTTATATCCGCCAGAGGGGTTAGAAACCTCTCTAAAGGTTACTTTCTTTTTATATCCGCCAGGGTTACTTTCTTTTTATATCCGCCAGAGGGGTAGAATTCCCCCTTTAAGGCTAATCTCTTTTTATATCTGGCAGAGGGTCTATTTTCTCTTATTAAATATTAAGAGAATTGTTATCCTTTATTTTTACTCTCATATTCATGATTCCTGGTCTTACTCATACCTTATTTCCCTACATATACATATTTATGGAGTGAGAACCAGAAAACTCGGGAATAGGAAGACGATGTGTAGGCTCAAGTTATAAGTTTGAAAAATTTAATAAACATGAGACACAACAATTGTTCAGTGGAAGCAAATCCATTTCTCTTTATAAGTGATTAAATAAGATACTAGTTAAGCTATTTGCTTTGTATAAACATCAAAAACATTAAGTGTTGCTTTAATGTCGACTTCCTATTCCACAGTTTTCTGGTTCTCTCTGTACTTTATTTTTCCGTTCCTACACATATTTTACTGATTGTAATTTCCCAATATCAATTATAGGATTACAATCTCAACAGACAGATAAGCGAGACAAGGAAATAAAACTGAATTTATATTCTTTTTAGGTCAAGTTCAAGATATGATTGCTCAAGTTTTCCAATCCATATAAATGGACCCCCCCCCCCGTAACCCATTAATATCAAATCTTAGTAAGACGACCCATTTATCAATCTAATCGACTTGAGTTGGATGTTTTTAAATGAAAAGTTAAACTCGGAAAGGTTGACTGATCCCTTATCGGTTAAATCTTTGGATTGGACTTATTAGAAAAAATTTAGTTTTTCGGTGATGAGAGAAAGAGTTTAGAACATTGATTTCATTCAATAGTTTCCAGCTCACAATCTGGCTAAATAGGAGATGGAGACAACTGATTTAAGCCTTGTTTTAGCAGAGAGAGGAATTAGAACTGCTAGTAATCTCTGGTATATAGTTGCAATGTTAAGCTCTATAATTTTATTCCAACATCCAATTTTCTTTCAAGAATTCTCGTTCTACACAATTTATTTGTAATTATATGCACGAATGTTTGTTGAGACCACTACAACTTTTACCAAACTAAAACAAAGTTTGAAATAGAAAAGATTTTATGTTTTGTTGTTTATTTCTACACTTTCCACACACAAGAAAATCCGCAGAACACTTAACAACTGATTGTTTTAGTAGAATTGGTGTTCTGAACACGCGGGAGGATAAATGTTTAGCTTTTTAGGAATCAAGGTTTATCTCAGGGTTGGATAACATATTACGATGTTGTATTGGAGGGATGGGGGGGGGGGGGTGCTATCTTTACTAATTAAAGAGACTGTGAGCGAAACTTCAAGTGACTCTCCATGCAAAGATAGCAATGCCCGATTCACAACGGTACATTAAGTTTTATTAGAAAGCAATGTTTATAATTTTATTATTTTTATTTGTGATTTTTCTACAAAAATTACAAATGTATAAATGATCAGATATTGATCAGATAAAGGTTTAATGCAGGTACCTTTGTGAATTGGAAATTATCATCTGTGAATGGAGAAAAAAACTTGAAATAACACTTACCATCCCTTTACCCATGTAATAAATGCCTCAGGTTTCCAAGATATGAGGGTTATTACAATATTTATTACACACATCATTTCTAGGTTCGATTAATTCAGTCAGCTTCACAAAAACAAAATATTAAAACTGAAAGACGATCTCCCAGAAATCTAGACTTTTAGACAAACTTGATGACATTCAAATATTTAGTTAGAATGAACCATATTGCCCAGATTGTTGATTTTTAAGGTTTATAAAATGTTAGACCCTGAGAAAACAATTAGATTTTCTCAAACAACGCTTTATTCTTGTACATTACACAACAACTTAAAAAAAACAGTTTTGAATTTTTCTTTTTTCTTTTTTACTTAAAAATACCAGAGGCCAAATTAAAAGAATTTGAGCCACATCTCAAATTTAACACGCGCCTTGAACATAGTGGGTTCAATTAGGACCGGTTTTTGGCGATTTAGCGACGCGGTTTAAATTCTTTAAGTTCAGCTTTAGGTCTAATGATCTATAAATCAATGGATTTTTGTTTAGTTGTTTAAATTACCCTTTTATAAATATTTTTAATCCATATTCATCTATACTAACTTTTGTGTACGAAAAAGGATTATATAGAATTTATACATACAATATTATATACTCTGTTAAATCTTTAATGATAATCTTCTATTTCTTATGTTCATATCATATTTCGGAGAAATTGTATCTTTGCATCGTTGCAACTTCTCTTAGAAGATATCCCTAGATCTTTCTTTAAAAGGACTTTTAGACTTTTCAGACTTTTTATCAAAAGAAGAGAAGAAATCTGAAACCTGATTCCTACTTTGGAATTTGATTTCCTGCAACTTTTTACTTATCCTACACACATATATATATCTATATATAAATTTGGCTTGTCTGTTTGTTTGTCTGTTTGTTTGTATCCAATAACCGTCAGAACGGCTGAACCGATTGGGCCCAAATTGAGAACATGTTCACAATTAATTTAGAAGATGGGCGCGAAGCACCCTCTAAGGCTAGTATCTTATAAATCTTTATGTATCTATATATAAATTTGGCTTGTCTGTTTGTCTGCCTGTCTGTTTGTTTGTATCCAATAAACGTCAAAACGGCTGAACCGATCGGGCCCAAATTTTTTGTGGGACATCACGTGACCACAGGGAAGGTTTATGAATGATAACAATTTAAAAAAAATGTGTTTTGAAGGTTTTAAATTTTGTAAAAAAAATTTAAATTCTTGAAAATCCGCGATTTTTTTTTTAAACATCCGCAAAATTTTTTGTAAAAATGAGATATTTTGTCATTGATATTAAATCTCAAAAAATTTCAAGAAGATGAATTATAGAAATCGTCAGAATACAACCAAGAATTTTCCATTCGTCTATAAAACATAATTTAGCATAACAGATGCATATTATTCAACATTTTTACTTTTATTTCATAGCTCCAATACTGAAATCTACTCATTGCTAAATTAATTTCTCCCAAAATAGAATTGCAATTTTATCAAAAACATTTTTGTGGATTTTCTCCCTATTAAGTAAATCTGGTCTTAACACTTAATGAACTTTAAACTTGGAGTAGGGTGGGGAGGGGGGGGTGAGGGTCGGATATTTTTTAACCTTTGTATGGCGCAAAAATACTGTTTTTGCTCAGACTTTACTCACCTTTTCTTACTCTGCAATATATATATTTGTATCAAATATATTTTCCAAACTTTGATATTAACTCTAGAATTGCCAAATCATCCACCTACCATTTTTCAATTAGAAAAAATATAGATTTGATTTATTAAAATTAGAGTTTCTAGCGAACAAAAACTTTCGCGAAAAAAGGCGAAAATTTTCATTCATATTTAACGAAAGGAAGCGAAAACGATGCGAAGTTTCTGGAACATTTTTTTTTGTGAAAAAAGATAGAAAATTTTGCATTAATTTGTTACACGAAAAATTACGAAATTTTCGCGAATAAAAAAATGTAAAAGTTTGACAAAAATAAACAATGAATGCGAAATCATGCGAAAAAAAACAAAATTTACGCAATTTTTCGTATTTTTTTCCTACAACCTTAATGAAAAAAAGTTGCGAAATTTTCGCGAAATGATTTCCCCATTTCGCTGAAAACCTTAGATAAGGATAACATATTTTTTAATGAATCTTTGGTCGTATATTTGACTAAAGACATTACTGATTCTGTTAACAAAATTTTGTGGACCTAAGAACTACTAATAAATAATAGAACGTAAATTACTTAAATATTTTTTGCTAGAATTAAATAATAATTTTTTTTTATTTTTAATATTTTTAGTAGAAATAATCATAGCATGCGGTTGCTTCTTTGAAAAGAGCTACACTCAGGTTTAAGCGTTTTGATTTGAGAACCAAATAACACTTATTTATAAAACTAATATGGAAATTAGGCTTATTTAATTTATCATCTTCTCTTCAGGTTCGATAAAATAAATGAATAATTTTAATATATCACAGTGCCAAGTTTAGATAAAAAAATCAACGAAATACATAAATTATATTTATGTCTAAACATTTCTTGATTTAATACCGTTTCCAGTTTTCCTCTTCAAAACTTAACAAAGAAACTTGTATAAAAATAGCTCTAAATGAATTATTTAGTTTACATTTTTAACATCGAAAGTTTAAAAAATGTTTTAAAACTGGAAGTTTTCTAGGAGCGAAATTATGATTTTTGTCACCTAAACGGAATTATTTTTTGTTACTTGAGTTCTTTTGCCACAGTTTATGATTTGGTTTTTCTCACTTAAATTTACAATTTATTTCAAGATATTGCACAAATGTCGATGTTCATTAATTGGTTTTAGAAAAATAGTGGAAGATAGAAAATAGGTCAGGATACATGCAGGATACAGGATACAGGATACTGGATACAAGATACAGGATACTGGATACAGGATACAGAATACAGGAACCAGGATACAGGATACTGGACATTGAATACTGGATACTGGATACTGGATACTGGATACTAGATACTAGATACTTTTTTGTTTAAAACGTAGAGATAAAATTAAAAAAGAAATGGAAAAATCTGTTCATTATCAGATAAGATTATTTAAACTCAAAACCATACTAGGTTCGGAGAATTTAATTTAAAAGGATTTAATTAAGGTTTCGTGTCTTTCTAACTTTCTAGATAAAAAACCCTTTGAGTTTTCTACATAATCTGTTACCATACACTGGGAAATCTTTGTTCTTATCCTTCCTTGTTCTACATAATCCACTACCATACACTGGGAAACCTTTGTTCTTATCCTTCCTTGTTCTACATAATCCACTACCATACACCGGGAAACCATTGTTCCTTTCCTTCCTTGTTCTACATAGTCCACTACCATACACCAGGAAACCATTGTTCCTATCCTTTCTTGTTCTACTTAATCCACTACCAGACACTGGGAAATCTTTGTTCTTATCCTTTCTTGTTCTACATAATCCACAACCATACACCAGGAAACCATTGTTCCTATCCTTCCTTGTTCTACATAATCCACTACCATACACCGTGAAACCTTTGTTTCTATCCTCCCTTGTTCTACATAATCCACTACCATACACCAGGAAACCATTGTTCTTATCCTTTCTTGTTCTACATAATCCACTACCATACACCGGGAAACTATTGTTCCTATCCTTTCTTGTTCTACATAATCCACTACCATACACCGGGAAACCTTTGTTGTTATCCTTCCTTTTTCTACATAATCCACTACCATACACCAGGAAACCATTGTTCCTATCCTTCCTTGTTCTACATAATCCACAACCATACACCGGGAAACCATTGTTTCTATCCTTCCTTGTTCTACATAATCCACTACCATACACCGTGAAACCTTTGTTTCTATCCTCCCTTGTTCTACATAATCCGTTACCATACACCAGGAAACCTTTGTTTTTATTCTTCCTAATTCTACCCATCTACCAACCTACCTACCTTCCTATCACCAATTAACTTTCTTCCTATCCTCTAATCTATTTACCTACTCATCTTCCTTCCAATTGACCAACCTACTTGCCTTCCTATTGATGGGCAGATTTTCGGTAACTAACATTTTGGTAACTAACAATTTGGCAACTAATAATTTGGTAACTAACAATTTGGTAACCTGACTATTTGGTAACTGGACTAATTGGTAACCAATAATTTGGTAACTTGACAATTTGTTAACTTGACAATTTGGTAACCTGACAGTTTGGTAGCCGACAGTTTGGTAGCTAACAATTTGGTAACTAACAATTTGTATAATTGAAACTTATGTTTCACAATCATTATTTGTATATTTAATTATTGAATATATAAAGAGAATAAAAAACAATATGCAGGATTTCTTGATAGTTTAGCATGACAAATCCACGAAAACTCGGCCCCCCCTTGTCCTAACCGCAACGCTCGGCCAAGAAATTACATTAACCGAACCTAATCCCACATATCGGATATCATTGTATTAGTTTTGATAAATATAACCGCAGCGCTCGGCCCCTTATAGCCTGTCCTAGCAGCAGCGCTCGGTCCAGAAATCGTCTTAACCTAGTCTAACCAAAATGTGAGGTTACTAAATTGTCAAGTTACCAAATTGTTAGTTACCAAATTGTGAGGTTACCAAAGATAAGTTACCAAATTGTTTGTTACCAAAAATGCTAGTTATCAAATTATTAGATAACAAATTGTCAATTTACTAATTTGTCAAGTTACCAAATTATTAGTTACCAAATTGTGAGGTTACCAAAGATAAGTTACCAAATTGTTTGTTACCAAAAATGCTAGTTATCAAATTATTAGTTACCAAAAATCCGCCCATATTCCTATCTACCTTCCTAACTACCTACCGAATTACTTTCCTATCTGCTAACCTATCTATCTATCTTTCTATCTTCCAAAGGTTCGTTCTTTTCTATCTTCTAATCTATCTACCAACCTATCTATCTTCCTTTCTACCAACTAACGTTCTTTCTATCTTTTACTCTTCCAACCTAGCTAAATATACTCTCCTTTCTACCAACTAACTTCCTTCCTATCTTCTAATTTGTCTACCTTTCAAAATACCTTCCTATCTACTAACGTATCTATCTTCCTATTTACTACCTGCCTTTCCCTCTGCCTACCTTATTACCTTCCTATCTACCAACGTATCTATTTTCCTACCTTCCAACTAACCTTCCTTGCTATCTTATAATCTAGCAACAAATATACCTTCTAATTACATTTCTCTCTACCAACTAACCTTCCGTCCTATCTCATAATCTGCCTAAACCTATCTAATTACCTCCCTATCTACCTACCCACTTATCTTCCAATATCTATATATAAATTTGACTTGTCTGTCTGTTTGTTTGTTTGTTTGTATCCAATAAACGTCAAAACGGCTGAACTGACCGGGCCCAATTTTTTTGGGAGACCTCGCGTGACCCCAGGGAAGGTTCATGGATGATCTAATTTTCAAAAATTTGCCTCTAACAGAATTCGAATTTTAAAAATTTTGAAAATCCACGATTTTTTTTAATAAAATCCGCGAATTTTGTTGTTTGTTTTTGTTTTACAATGAAGATTGTTATGAATGACTAAGTGGACGAGTTTGATGAATAGTTTCGTGTTTTCTAGTTTACAACTTTTTATTCCAAGCTTCAACTCTCAACATTTATGTCTACATTTTTTTTGCAATTTGGTAGTTTAGTAGAACACAATCTTCTCTGTTTCTCTTTGAATTTTATTCATCCAATGATTAAAACCTTACTGATTGTAATACAAAAAACTGACAAAAAAATTGTTTAAAATTTTTACATACATATAAATCAAAAATGGAGAATCGAACAGTCAAAAAAGATACATTTCGGTTTAAAGTCTGAAAGGGTTTTTATTTCCGAGTTTAGTGCAAACCTTATCCATAGTAACCCTTTTTTTATTTAATGAGTTTTTTATGCACAATCATAATCTGTTTTCAACATAACAAAATATTTTGAATTTTTACAGCTTTAGTTCTTGGATATTTTTTAGGTTGCCTCGATACAATTTGGCAAAGAAAACCTTAAAAAGAAAAAATTAATTCAGAAACCATGACGATAGTTTTTATTTGGAGAAATAATAAAAAGGATAAAATTAGTAAAATGCTCAGGTTTTGAGAAGAATACTAATTCCAAAAAGTTCCCCTAAACCAGCTTCTCTAAACCTTTATTACAGGTTGCAGTAAGTGCCAGACAACTAGGAAGTCATATACCAGCTAATCTAAACCTTTATTACAGGTTGCAGTACGTGTAGCTAGACAACTAGGTTGTCCTATACCAGCTGATTTAAACCTTTATTACAGGTTGCAGTACGTGTAGCTAGACAACTAGGTTGCCCTATACCAGCTGATCTAAACCTTTATTACAGGTTGCAGTACGTGTAGCTAGACAACTAGGTTGCCCTATGCCAGCTGATTACAACCGTTATTACAGGTTGCAGTACGTGTAGCTAGACATCTAGGTTGCCCTGTACCAGCTGATTTAAACCGTTATTACAGGTTGCAGTATGTGTAGCTAGACAACTAGGTTGCCCTATACCACCTGATTTAAACCGTTATTACAGGTTGCAGTACGTGTAGCTAGACAATTAGGTTGTCCTATACCAGCTGATTTAAACATGCATCATTCAACTATTCTACAATGTCTCCGATCTAAACCTTTAGGTAACTATATTTCATATAAGCTGAAGTGCCTGGCGTTGCTTGTGGTAACTCAAAAATTGTCCAACACCCCAATTGGGGTATATAAAACATTTAAATTTGTGTAACAAGTCCAAAAATAATATATATTCGGTTTCTTATCGCATTTTAGAAAAAAAACTTCTGCTTGCATTTTTAAAATATTAAGGTTTATACTATATTTATTAAAATTATTGTTATTATTATTTCCTTTATTGAATGGGCGTCCAGTGTACTTTGTGCTCTTATTTTTCATATTTCTTTTATGTGAAGGCATTATCTTACAAAAACAGTTGTTGAATTTATTTATCTTATACAAAAATATACATTATACATAAAAATATAAACTTCCCTTTTGTTTTTGTTGTATATGTTGTAATTGTCGTATTTGTTGTATTTGTTTAGATGATTTGTTGTATTTGTTTAAATGATTTGTTGTATTTTTGTATTTTTTGTATTTGTTGTATTTGTTGTATTTGTTGTATTTGTTTAAATGATTTGTTATATTTTATGTTTTTGTTTAGATGATTTCTTGTATTTGTTTAGATGATTTGTTGTATGTTTGTATTTGTTGTATTTGTTGTATTTGTTGTATTTGTTGTTTTTTTTGTATTTGTTTAGATGATTTGTTGTATTTGTTTTATTTGTTTAGATGATTTGTTGTATTTGTTGTATTTGTTTAGATGATTTGTTGTATTTGTTGTATTTGTTGTATTTGTTTAGATGATTTCTGTATTTGTTTAGATGATTTCTGTATTTGTTTAGATGATTTGTTGTATTTTTGTATTTTTTGTATTTTTTGTATTTGTTGTATTTGTTTAAATAATTTGTTGTATTTGTTGTATTTGTTGTATTTGTTGTATTTGTTTAGATGATTTGTTATCTGTAGATCTTGGTCCAACACTAAGTTTTCTATCCAACATTGGTCCATCATTCGACGGAGTAACAATCAAGAAAAACTTTGTCAATATTCGAGGAAAACGAAGTTTCGAATCCAGGAACCAACACACTCGAACATTATGCGCTAGCAACATTATGCACTCGAAACATTTTGCAAAGTGAACATTATACACTCAAAACATTTTTTAATTGGAACATTATATACTTTAAACATTATGCACTAAAAACATTATACATTTTCAACATTATACACTTTTGGTAAATCTTATCAAATCAATGTATAGGGTAGGGTACAGATTCTATTTATTTGTCAAAAATAAAGAAGAAATATCTCTTTCTAGTGGGGTGACCCCCCCCCCCTTCGGGCCTTATTATCAAATAATCTCAGTTTGAAATATCAAAGGTTTACAACTTTGAGTTCTAAAGATATTGTGGTTTAAATATTTGATTTTGTTCCAAAGACTCAATTCCTTTCCAAAACCTATAGCAAGTGAAACACTAATTCGTTTTATCATTTTTCACATTTTTTATCAAAATAATTTTGAAGAATTGTTTTTCCTTAGGCACATAGTAGGCAATACATGATTCTTTCTACGTCTAATATAATTTGCATGACTTTCTTGTTTATTCATGATCAGCATAAGAACCCAGTTCTTTATTCATGATCACTGATCAGCATAAGAACCCAGTTCTTTATTCATGATCACTGATCAGCATAAGAACCCAGTTCTTTATTCATGATCACTGATCAGCATAAGAGCCCAGTTCTTTATTCATGATCACTGATCAACATAAGAACCCAGTTCTTTATTCATGATCACTGATCAGCATAAGAGCCCAGTTCCTTATTCATGATAACTGATCAGCATAAGAATCCAGTTCTTTCTTCATGATCACTGATCAGCATAAGAACCCAGTTCTTTATTCACGATCACTGATCAGCATAAGAACCCAGTTCTTTATTTATGATCACTGATCAGCATAATAACCCAGTTCTTTATTCATGATCACTGATCAGCATAAGAACCCAGATTTTTATTCATGATCATTGATCAGCATAAGAACCCAGTTCTTTATTCATGATCACTGATCAGCTTAAGAACCCAGTTTTTTATTCATGATCACTGATCAGCATAAGAACCCAGTTCTTTATTCATGATCACTGATCAGCATAAGAACCCAGTTCTTTATTCATGATCACTGATCAGCATAAGAACCCAGTTCTTTATTCATGATCACTGATCAGCATAAGAACCCAGTTCTTTATTCATGATCACTGATCAGCATAAGAACCCAGTTCTTTATTCATGATCACTGATCAGCATAAGAACCCAGTTCTTTATTCATGATCACTGATCAGCATAAGAACCCAGTTNGATAGAAGACTAAATGTCACAAATAAATTCAAATACCAAAGACGACTTTCAAGTCGTCTTCCTATTGTCATGTTTCGTGGGACACCCTGTACATCCAAACAAACAGACAGAGAGACATATAAATATATATAAAGATACATATAGATGATAATATCATTTCAGGGAAAAAAAAGCTTTTTGAAAAAGAAGTCTTTGAGGATTGAAACTTGATTTATTACAACGGATGCTTTTTCAACGTTTATGACTCTGAAGTTATGTGTGTAATTGCTTATCAAATAACTTAGATTTAATGCTATATTAAAAAGTAGCTGAAGGGCCCGGTGTTGCCCATGGAAAAAAAAATATTTAAAAAAAAAAAAAAAATTTGAAGGAAATAATCGAATTTTTAGCCCATAACACCCCCCGGCCACCCATGAGTGTCCACAAAAATTACAGCCCATTCGGTCCAGCCGTTTGGCCGGCTATAGGCAATATACATATGAATGTCTTGTTTCATTATAAAGATAAAGTTTCAATGAGAAAGAAACCATTTCAAGGATATCAAATGCCAGCAGCTGTTGTATAAACTGTGAACATTGTTTGAGATAAAATGTTTAATATTTACACGGTTACCCACAAAGGATAAGACTAATATGACGAGCTGAAGCTGAATGCAAGGTTTGGTATTCTGCGTTTAATATTGTCTTTTAATGGTTTACTTAATAGTCCTGTAAAAAAAAATCTTGTTTTCAAATGAAGGCAAGCAAGGATGTCAGAAATAGAACGCAATAAATTCCGTACAGTCGCTTCTGAAGTCTCATCCTTTGTGCATAACTCTGTCAAATATTTTCTCCAAAACTTGTATCACATATTTCTCTGAGAGCCTAACAGGGGATTATAACTTAGAAATATTTCCTTCTGTCAACCATTCTTTTTAAGGGCTCACATTTCATTTTACTCTTTTTCATTTCTGTATTTTCTGAAATTAAATATATATCATGGCTGTATAAAAATGATCCCAATGTATTTCAATCTGATATGGAACTTTATTAATCATTGTTGGCAAATATTTGCATAAACTTCAAGTTTTTATATTCATTTTTATAAATATAAATTTTAGTTCATTATATAAGGTGACCCACAAAGGATGAGACTTCAGACACTGTTGTGAATTGTACGGAATTTATTGTGTTCTATTTCCGAATTGTGAATTGTACGGAATTTATTGCGTTCTATTTCCGAATTGTGAATTGTACGGAATTTATTGCGTTCTATTCCCGAATTGTGAATTGTACGGAATTTATTGCGTTCTATATCCGAATTGTGAATTGTACGGAATTTATTGCGTTCTATTCCAGAATTGTGAATTGTACGGAATTTATTGCGTTCTATTTCCGAATTGTGAATTGTACGGAATTTATTGCGTTCTATTTCTGAATTGTGAATTGTACGGAATTTATTGCGTTTTATTTCCGAATTGTGAATTGTACGGAATTTATTGCGTTCTATTCTCGAATTGTGAATTGTACGGAATTTATTGCGTTCTATTCCCGAATTGTGAATTGTACGGAATTTATTGCGTTCTATTCCCGAATTGTGAATTGTACGGAATTCTTTTAGTCCGTTATCTTGCATTCAGGGTTTCCTGCAGGACAAAATAGGCTCATTTCTGTGCTTAACATTTTGTAAACCACCAAAATACTCAAATGAATGCAGAAACCAAAATTCTTTACAGTCTCACCCTTTGCGGGTAACCCTGTAGTTCAATGATTAAAAATGTATATATGTATCAAGGTATCCAAGTATAATACTATTAAAGTATACCGTGTAACAATATTCTTATTGTCTCATAAAATAAAACTGTATATTGTACAATGAACGGTGAACATTCATGGCATCATATACATTTCAAAATTTTACCTTAACACGTCTCAAGAGAGTGTAGAGGTATATGATACTTTGTAAACATTTGTAAACATATCATCCAACACTTTCTCCACTTCATATCTCCATTTCCTCGATGGTTTAGCTTTGAAGTTGTGTTGGGTTCAGGACGTACGATTCTCTGATTGGAGTAAGTTCCACAGACTGGGTTCATGAACTAGGAGAAAATATGCTCCAAGAGGGTCTGGATACTGAACAAAGGAATGCCTGAAAATCAAAAGGAGTTGAGTCTTTGCCACTAACTCGAAGTTTCTAATTCCTATTTCTGTCTAACCTGATGGCACAAACCTTTGATATTTCAAACTGAGATTATTTGATCTAACAGAATTCATAATTCTAAATATCTAAGATCTTTGACATTGAGTTGCAAAGATATACATGGAGTAGAAAATCAGAGTTTGTGGCAAAGACTGAATTCCTTTAGTCTCTTCTTTTTGGTTTGGCAAAAGAATTAACTGATTTATAATTTTTCATATTTCAAATTAATATTCTTTTATTTTACAAAGATTTCATTTCGAATTTTTTAATCCCAGATAAACTTACAATTTACCCCAATAAAAATTGAATAAAAATTTAAATTTGAAAGTTACGATATTTCTTGCGGAGAAGAGATGAGATTCTACGAACCTTGGTAATAAATAACTACGAAGCAAGATACAGAGAAATATTCTTAGCGGTATCCAACCAATATACAGATCTTAATCAGGTATATCCAACCAATACAGGTCTTAATCTTAAAAATCTATATAAAAATATTTGGCTGTAGACTAAATCAATCTCCGGATCAATTAAAACTAAGATGGATGAAAGTTTAAAAAGAAAAGCGCGAGGTTTGATGGAAAAGCTGAAAGATCAGAAAGTTTATTAAATAAAAGGCAAAGTTTGCTTGGAAAGAAACGCCTCAAGGTTTATATCCCATAATTTATGAAAGGAGGGACACATTAATCCTACTTAGTTAGTTGTTTGTTTAGACAATAAGGAAACAAGTTCTCAAGAGAAACCTAAGAAAAAGGAGGAAAAAGAGAGAAAGAGAGAAGATGAAAAGGGTGAAAAGGAAAAAAAAGGAAAGGATAAAACACGAAGGAGAGAAAGAGAAGAAAGATGAGAAGGAGGAAAAGGAGGAAAAGGAAAAAGAAGGAAGACAAGAAGAAAAGAAAGACGGAAGATGAGTTGGATGAAAATGAAAAGGAGGAAAAGGATTTGGACATTAAGTAGAGGAAGAAGGAAGATGAGTAAAATGAAAAGTAGAAGGAGGAAAAGGAAAAGGACATAAAGGAGAGATAGAAGGAAGATGAGTAAAATGAAAAGGAGACGGAGGAAAAGAACATAAATGAAAGAAGAAAAAGGAAGGTGAGTAAAATGAAAAGGAGAAGGAGGAAAAGGACGTAAAGGAGAGAGGAAGAAGGAAGATGAGTAAAATGAAAAGGAGAAGGAGGAAAAGGACATAAAGGAGAGAAGAAAAAGGAAGATGAGTAGGATGAAAATGAAAAAAAGGAAAGTAATAAGACATGGAGTAGAGAAAGGAGGAAGATGAGTCGGATGAAAATGAAATAAAGGAAAGGGATGAGGACATGAAGGAACGAAAGAAGGAAGATGAAAGAAAGAGATACAAAAGAAGAAGAAGAAGAGGAGGAGGAAAAGGATAAGGCAGGATTGAAAGGTGAAGAAGAAAGAAAAGGAGAATAAAGATGGGGAGGAAAAGCGAATTAGAAGAATTATGATTAAAAAGGTAATAGGAGAAGCTAATAATTTGAAAAATAAGAATTAGGAAGATGAAGAGAATGATGGAAAAGAGAAGTGGAATACATGAAGAATTGCCTAAACTATAGGAAAGATTATAGAAGACAACAATAAATTTTAAACTGAAACAAAATACTTTGTAAAGAATAATGGTAATTGAGAAGGTTTAAGGGACTGAAAAGGAAAATGAAAGAGGGTATAGGCTGAAACTTAATCACTTTAGCTCTTGATCGCGACCCATTAAAGTTATATGTGATGTTCCTGTCTCGAGAAATTGACATAATTTTTATTTTTTATTTTTAATATATATAATTGATAAAATTATTTACAATTAGGTTTCTCTGGGAAAAGGTTTAAAAGTATTTGGATAAAGATGATGAAGAATAAAGACAAGAGAAGGTTTACAAGTAGGTGGAGAATGTGAAGAATAAAGACGAGAGAAGGTTTAAGAGTAAGAGGAGAATGTGAAGAATAAAGACAAGAGAAATGTTTAAAAGTGAGAGGAGAATGTGAAGAATAAAGACAAGAGAAATGTTTAAGAGTAGGTAAAAAACGTTAAGAATAAAGACAGGAGAAATGTTTAAAAGTAAGAGGAAAAGAGAAGGTTTAAGAGGATAATGTGAAGAATAAAGACAAAAGAAGGTTTAAGAGTAGGTAAAGAATGTGAAGAATAAAGACGAGAGAAGGTTTAAGAGAAGAATGTGAAGAATAAAGAAAAAAGAAGGTTTAAGAGGAGAATGTAAAGAATAAAGACAAGAGAAGGTATAAGAGGAGAATGTGAAGAATATAGACAAGAGAAAGTTTAAGAGTAAGAGGAGAACGGTAAGTAAAGGTAAGATAAGGTTTAAGAGTAGGTGGAGAATGGGAAGTAAATGTAAGAAAAGGTTTAAGAGTAGGTAGAGAATGGGAAGTAAAGGTAAGATAAGGGTTAAGAGTAGGTAGAGAATGGGAAGTAAAGGTAAGAGAAGGTTTAAGAGTAGGTGGAGAATGGGAAGTAAATGTAAGAGAAGGTTTAAGAGAAGGTGGAGATTGGGAAGTAAAGGTAAGATAAGGTTTAATAGTAGGTGGAGAATGGGAAGTAAAGGTAAGAGAAGGTTTATGAGTAGGTGGAGAATGGGAAGTAAAGGTAAGATAAGGTTTAAGAGTAGGTAGAGAATGGGAAGTAAAGGTAAGAGAAGGTAGGTGTAGAATGGGAAGTAAAGGTAAGAAAAGGTTTAAGGGTAGAAGGAGAATGGGAAGTAAATGTAAGAGAAGGTTTAAGAGAAGGTGGAGAATGGAAAGTAAATGTAAGATAAGGTTTAAGAATAGGTAGAGAATGGGAAATAAAGGTAAGATAAGGTTTAAGAGTAGGTGGAGAATGGGAAATAAAGGTAAGATAAGGTTTAAGAGTAAGAGGAGAATGTGAAGTAAAGGTAAGTGAAAGTTTAAGATAAAGTGAAAGATGTAAAGAGAGAGAGCTTTTTTAAACTAACAATACAAGAGATATGCAGAGGTTAAAAATATAAGAAGCATGTAATACAGTAATACATGATACAAATGAGATACAGAAGGGAAGAGAAATGGGAACCAAAAGAGAAAAGGAGAAATGAGAATAAGAACAAAATGAAGAAAGAAAAAATAAAGAATGAATAGTTTAAAAGGATGGGATATATAAATAATGATTAGTCTGAAGTGAAGGGTTAATCCTAGTTAACACCTTATAAAGTTAATTAAACACGGAGCAGACATTCTCTCTAGTATTTTCTCAATTAATCCTTTCCGTATTCTCTGTACAAATCCACTGTGTATTCTCTCTACTAATCCTCTGCGTGTTCTCTTTACTAATTCTCTCCATATTCTCTGTACTAATCATCTGTGTATTCTCTCTACTAATCCTCTGCGTGTTCTCTTTACTAATTCTCTCCATATTCTCTCTACTAATCATCTGTGTATTCACTCTACTAATCCTCTGCGTGTTCTCTTTACTAATTCTCTCCATATTCTCTCTACTAATCATCTGTGTATTCACTCTACTAATCCTCTGCGTGTTCTCTTTACTAATTCTCTCCATATTCTCTCTAATAATCATCTGTGTATTCTCTCTTCCAATCCTCTAGCTGTGCATTCTCTCTACTAATCCTCTGCGTCTTATCTCTTCTAATCTTCTGCGTATTCTCTTTACTATATCCCGTATTCTCTCTACTAATTCTCTCCATATTATCTCTACTAATCATCTGTGTATTCACTCTACTAATCCTCTGCGTCTTATCTCTTCTAATCTTCTGCGTATTCTCTTTACTATATCCTCTGCATATTCTCTCTTCCAATCCTCTAGCTGTGCATTCTCTCTACTATTCCTTTGCGTATTCTCTCTTCTAATCTTCTGCATATTCTCTCCATTAATCTTCTGCGTAGTCTGTTTACTAATCCTTGGAGCATTATCTTAACTAATCTTCTGCGTATTCTCTCTTCTAATAATCTTCGTAATCTCTCTACAAATCTTCTTCGTATTATCTCTACTAATCCTCTGCGTATTATCTCTACTAATCCTCTGCGTATTATCTCTACTAATCCTCTGCGTATTATCTCTACTAATCTTCTGCGTATTCTCTCTTCTAATAATCTTCGTAATCTCTCTACAAATCCGTATTATCTCTACTAATCCTCTGCGTATTATCTCTACTAATCCTCTGCGTATTATCTCTACTAATCCTCTGCGTATTATCTCTACTAAACCTTAACGTATTATCTCAACTTATTTTCTGGGTATTCTCTCTAGTTGTTCTCTGCGTATTCTCATATTAATCCTTCCCGTATTTCCAGGATCCTACAGCAAAGATGAGATTGCGTAATCTTACGCTAAACGCCGTGAGTGACGCACTTTACGCAGCACCCGCCATACACAGTGCCGGAACATTTCTCAGGTAAACATTTAAAAAGCTTTCAATAATTCAATCAAAGATCTAATTTTTTGCTTAAAACTCAAATTTTCTAATTCCTATATCTTTGCAACCTGTAGGTGTAAACTTTTCCAGACTTTGACTATTCGAGCTAAAAGAATTTATAGCTTTAAATATTAAATGTTTTGCTATCAGGTTGCAAAGATAATAGTAACAGAAAATGAGATGTTGAGGTAAAAATCAGTTATTTTTTAAATTTCATATCTCAACTGATTTTTAAGTGGGTGTTTAGAGGATATTACTTAGAATTCATTTTTGATTTTTTAAAGAATCATTTCTGAACATTTTATATAATGATTATCTTTATACTCTTTAAAAATTAGACAATTTCTAAAAAGTTACACCAGGATCCACCCCCCCCCCCGTATTATTGTTTTTAAAAAAAGTTAGATTTTAGGGAAATAAAAACAATCTTTATGTTTCCAATCCCATTCAGCTTTGTAATTTTTCTCCCAAAAACTGCAGCACGATGTAAACTATATAATAGATATAATATAATAAACAGATATTATGGCCACAGAATCCAGATTAAGTTACTTTAAGACGTCACATTCTAAGTCACAATTCTAACTCAAACCCATGTCTAAGTCATGGTAAGACATATTTCAAATCACAGTTCTAAGTCACGGTTACATCAACGTTATACTTTTGAGACAAAATTATGTAAAAGACACAATTCTAACTCACAATTCTAAGTCACAACTATGTCAAGACTCATTTTAATTCACAAGCATATGAAAAATTTTTACTTTGAAGATATGCTTATGTCTAAGACACTTTCTAAGTCACAATTATATCTAAGTCACCATTCTACGTCGAACTCATAATTTTGAGACAAAATTATGTCTAAGACAATTTCTAAGTCACAATTGTGCCTGAAACACTCTCTAAGTCACAAACATGCTTTAGACACATTATAAAACACTTTCTAAGTAACAATTATGTCTAAGTAATTTTTCAAGTCACCATGCTATGTCAAACTAAATTTTTAAGTCACTGTTCTATGCCACAATTATGTTTAAAACACTTTCGATGCCACAAACATGCTTTAGACACATTCTAGAACACTTTTTAAGTAACAAATGTGCCTTTTCACATTTTGAGGCTCAGTTCTAGCTCAAAACTAGGTCTTAATCATGTTTTTTTAGGCTTTATTGTTTTTAAGACGCATTCTAAGTCTCAATTCTAAGTGATAATTAAGTCTGAAACGCCGTTTCAATCACACTTATGTCTAACTCACAGTTGTTTGGCTTGATTATATTCAAGGCCCATTCTAAGTCACAGTTCTAAGTCACAATCATTTCAGAGTCTTACTTTTCAGACCAATTTTTGACTAAGACACTTTCTAAGTCAAAATTCTAAGTCACAGCTTTGTCTAAGACACTTTCTTAGTCACACAAACACCTTCTCGGTCCCAATCATGTCTAAGTCAAATTTTTGGGCTTAATTATGTATAAGACACATCGTTTGTCAATTCTAAGTCGCAATCATCTCACAGCCATACTTTTCACACCCAATAATGTCTAAGACACTTTCTAAACTATAAGTCTTGCAACTAACTATTCCTAAGTTATGTTTTGTAAGGCTTAATTATGTCAGCCACAAATAAAAGTCACAAATATGCCTGAGCTTGTTTTTGGAGATAAAATTATGACAAAGACACAAAGTTTCAATTTAGAAGTCACAATAATTTCTAAGTCACATTTTTCTTGGTCAATTTTGTTTAAGAGTTTGATAATGTTCAAGACAGATTCTAAGTCACAACTCAAAGTCACGATGTTTGTTGCTTAGTCACAAAGACTGACAAAGTAAGCATTCCATATCAATGTTTTTTCTGTTAAGAGTAAGATTAAAGTTTCCCCCAATATTTTTTTAATGCAGTACAGCGTTAGAAAAGTGACTTAGAGTCCATTAACTAATTTGAGGCCATTAACTATTTGCTATTTCCAGTAAACTGTTAAGAAACTTGGCTAATTGGATATCCTGAGTCATTTTGCCCCAAAAAGGATGGAGGGGGGTAATGCATCTTCTTCCTCTCTTCTTTCCTAAAAGCATCAAAAATGATTTTTGACCAGAAAAACGGAGGATTTCTTTCATCTGGTTTTACAACCGATGAGGAAATATTTGTGGTGTTAAATCCATCTGAAAAGGACAAGGAAAAGCAATGCTTCCTAATTCTTAGTTTATTCAGTCATAATTTGGCAGGAAAGTTAATATTTTCTCTAAAAAGAGTGAGTGAGACTTCACATTTGATAGCTTGTTGCTTTTGATGCTTTCAAATATTGATTTGATGCTTTCAAATTACACTTTTGATGCTTTACTACAGGGCCAAAGCATCCAAAGTGTTGAAATTGAAAGACAAAAGTATGGAAGTTTCCCATCCTCGGATAATTCTAAGTTTTTTCTTAATTAAGGATTCGTTATCCAATCCCATGGTTAAAATGATTAATCGAAGTTTATCTTATTCTGCAGAATATACTTGTTAAAATAAATTCGAAATATAAGGAAGACGATTTTTCCGACTCAAATGCCGACGTTAATTCTCAATGTTTGTGTACACAGGAAGCAAGCACACCACATGTGTCAAATCCCCGCTCACCTTAGATCCCCGCTTCAACCGGCAGTCAGTTACTAACACTCATATTCACAACTCCATCTCTACCCTGGCTCCTCCATGATGATGATGCAGATACTGAACTAACAGCAGGCATGCTTATACTTCTGATCTCCCTATTAACTTCTTGAGAAGCTTACTTAGGAAACTTGTCGAGCCTTGTCCGAAGTTTCCGCTATCTCGAGTTGCCTTGCCTCTGATACATTGATAAACCCTGTTGTCCCAGTTCCCGGATCTGCTCCACCAACATGAAGCTCTACAACACTCCCTTGAAGCACCATCTAATATCCATCATTAATTCCTTTTGTTAATTTCTAAATCAACCAATTTTAACTTCGCCATGTGCAAATATTTCAAAACAATTTTATTTTTCTTAAATAAATGTTATAGAATATTTGTGTTTTTCCTGATTTCTTTATTTGTATATTTTCTGACCTTTTTAAAGGTCAACAATACTGCGCAGCACTATAAAAGAGAAAATGCAGTTTTAATTAGAGAAATCTAAATGAAGGAAACAAGAATGATCCTTGAAAGTTTTGCTTAAACTTGACAAGATACAGAGAGTGCAAATATATCCACCCTGTATTTATTATTCAAGCAATGGAATCATTTCTTGGATAAAATAATGATGATCATTTTTAATCAATTTTATGTAAAAATATTTTATTTTGTGAAACTAAAAACAACTACAAACAAATTCTGAGTTTATTTTTCTAAATTATTAATCTAAGTTGTTAAAACAAGACTGTGAAAAATGCCAATCTGTTTAAAAAGAATTGAAATAAGTTTGATAAATCCTTAACTAATGAAACCTGCAGTATGTAATGAACAGCAGCCTGTTCAACTTTACCAGCTCTACCAGCTTTACCAGCTTTATAATGAAACTTTCTTTACTTTATGTTACTTATGATTACTGCAGTATATTCTCTTCTTAAACAACAGACTTAAACCAGATACTAGTCTATAGTAACAATCAAGTATCCCTGTGTCAAGTATCCCTGTGTCAAGTATCCCTGTGTCAAGTATCCCTGTGTCAAGTATCCCTGTGTCAAGTATCCCTGAGTCAAGTATCCCTGTGTCAAGTATCCCTGTGTCAAGAATCCCTGTGTCAAGTATTCCTTTGTCAATTATCCCTGTGTCAAGTATCCCTGTGTCAAGTATTCCTTTGTCAAGTATCCTTGTGTCAAGTATTTCTTTGTCAAGTATCCCTGTGTCAAATATTCCTTTGTCAAGTATCCCTGTGTCAAGTATCCATGTGTCAAGTATCCCTGTGTCAAGTATCCCTGTGCCAAGTATCCCTGTGTCAAGTATCCCTGTGTCAAGTATCCCTGTGTCAAGTATTCCTTTGTCAGGTATCCCTGTGTCAAGTATTCCTTTGTCAAGTATCCCTGTGTCAAGTATTCCTTTGTCAAGTATCCCTGTGTCAAGTATCCCAATGTCAAGTATCCCAGTGTCAAGTATTCCTGTGTCAAGTATTCCTTTGTCAGGTATCCCTGTGTCATGTATTCCTTTGTCAAGTATCCCTGTGTCAAGTATCCATGTGTCAAGTATCCCTGTGTCAAGTATCTCAGTGTCAAGTATCCCTTTGACAAGTATCCCTGTGTCAAGTATCCATATGTCAAGTATCCCTGTGTCAAGTATCCCAGTGTCAAGTATCCCTGTGTCAAGTATCCCTGTGTCAAGTATTCCTTTGTCAAGTATCTCTGTGTCAAGTATTCCTTTGTCAAGTATCCCTGTGTCAAATACTCCTTTGTCAAGTATCCCTGTGTCAAGTATCCCTGTGTCAAGTATCCCTGTGTCAAGTATCCTTGTGTCAAGTATCCTTGTGTCAAGTATCCATGTGTCAAGTTTCCTCGGGTCAAGTATCCCTGTGTCAAGTATTCCTTGTGTCAAGTGTCCCTGTGTTAAGTATCCTTGTGTTAAGTATCCTTGTGTTAAGTATTCCTTTGTCAAGTATCCCTGTGTCATGTACAAAGGTAAAGTAAAATTTGTTTCTCTATGTTTTTGTTTCAGAGTAAACAGTTCTGCAGATTTTTTCATTATTATGCAAATTAGTATTGGAGACTTTTCTTTTTATGTGACATGTCCGCACCATTCAGATTTGCTGGTTTTCTTCACACATATACACACATACTCAGTACTAGGATAGAGAAAAGACCTAAGATACATTGTTACTCTAAGAGAAAGAGACTTGAATGACGCCCTGAAACTTTTTAACGAGATGACATGCAGATTTATTTTGGTTTTTGTCTTAAATTTATTCATTTAATAGTTTTACTTTGGAATAGACAATTTAAAATTTGGAGTTGGTTGATGATGATCAAAACCTCATAGTATAAAACAGGTAGGTGTCAGTTCTGCGTATTTTTAAATTAAATTTCGGTCTGGTTTGAACCGTTTGACCCTCTGTAATTCCTGAGATTTGTTTGTCATGAAGAATCAAAACAAAACTCATTAAATGAACACGTTTACAGCTGTTGAAGACAGAAATGTAAGATTAGATTATGTAAAATCTCACTCTATGTGGGTAACCCTGTATTAAAAAGATAAAATGTTTTATAAGAACTGTATCTGTCTTTTAGGAGGAAAAACTCCACTTATTTCTACAACTGGAACCATGGAACCAGGAATGGAATGTATCCCCAGGTAGGATTAAATATCTCTAGTTGGAACCATGAAACCAGAAATGGAATGTATCCCCAGGTAGGATTAAATATATCTAGTTGGAACCATGGAACCAAGAACAAATTGTGTTCCAAGGTAAAAATATAAATATCTCTTCAGAAAGGGTTTAATCTCAGGTCGGAAGCAATTTTGCAGAGAATTCAGATAAGGAGAATGCTAGCACTATGGTTATACAACCTAGGCTACACCAGAGATAATATGGTTAAACAACCTAGCCTAGTAAAATATGGTTACCCAACCTAACCTAGAAAAATATGGTTACCCAACCTAGCCTAGTAAAATATGGTTACCCAACCTTACCTACTAAAAATATGGTTACCCAACATAACCTACTAAAAATATGGTTACCGAACCTATCCTAGTAAAAATATGGTTACCGAACCTTTCCTAGTAAAATATAGTTACCGAACCTATCCTAGTAAAAATATGGTCACCAAAATAGCCTAGTAAAATATGGTTACCTAACCTAACCTAGTAAAAATATGGTTACCCAACCTAACCTAGTAAAAATATGGTTACCTAACCTAACCTAGTAAAAATATGGTTACCTAACCTAACCCAGTAAACCTATGGTTACCTAACCTAACCTAGTAAAAATATGGTTACCTAACCTATCCTAGTAAAAGTTAGGTTACCCAACCTAACCTAATGAAATATTTTTACCTAACTAAACCTATTCTAGCAAAAATATGGTTACCCAACCTAACCTAGTAAAATATGGTTACCTAACCTAACCCAGTAAACCTATGGTTACCTAACCTAACCTAGTAAAAATATGGTTACCTAACCTATCCTAGTAAAAATATGGTTAACCAACCTAACCTAATAAAATATTTTTACCTAACTAAACCTATTCTAGCAAAAATATGGTTACCCAACCTAGCCTAGTAAAAATATGGTTACTACCCAACCCAACCTACTAAAAATATGGCTACCCTACTTAACATAACCTAGTAAAAAAGGGTTACTCAACCTAACCTAGTAAAACTTTGGTTACCTAACCTAACCTAGTAAAAATATGGTTACCTAACCCAACCTAGTAAAAATATGGTTACCCAACCTAACCTAGTAAAACTATGGTTACCTAACCTAACCCAGTAAACCTATGGTTACCTAACCTTACCTAGTAAAAATATGGTCACCTAACCTATCCTAGTAAAAATATCGTTACCCAACCTAACCTAGTAAAAATATGGTTACCCAACCTAACCTAGTAAACATATGGTTACCAAACCTAACCTAGTAAACATATGGTTACCTAACCTAACCTAGTAAAAATATGATTACCAAACTTAACCTAGTAAACATATGGTTACCTAACCTAACCTTGTAAACATATGGTTACCAAACCTAACTTAGTAAACATATGGTTACCTAACCCAACCTAGTAAAAATATGGTTACCAAACCTAACCTAGTAAAACTTTGGTTACCCAACCTTACCTAGTAAACATATAGTTACCTAACCTAACCTAGTAAACATATGGTTACCTAACCTAACCTAGTAAAAATATGGTTACCTAACTTAACATAGTAAAAATATGGTTACCAAACCTAACCTAGTAAAAATATGGTTACCAAACCTAACCCAGTAAACATATGGTTACTAAACCTAACCTGGTAAAAATATGGTTACCCAACCTAGCCTAGTAAACATATGGTTACCCAACCTAGCCTAGTAAACATTTGGTTACCTAACCTAACCTAGTAAAAATATGGTTACCTAACCTAACCTAGTACAAATATGGTTACCAAACCTAACCTAGAAAAATATGGTTATCTAACCCGACCTAGTAAAAATGTGGTTACCCAACCTAACCTAGTAAAAATATGGTTACCTAACCTAGCCTAGTAAACATATGGTTACCCAACCTAGCCTAGTAAACATATGGTTACCTTACCTAACCTAGTAAAAATATGGTTACCTAACTTTACCTAGTTAAAAAATGGTTACCAAACCTAACCTAGTAAAATTATGATCACCTAACCTAACCTAGTAAAAATATGGTTACCCTACCTAACCTAGTAAAATTATGATCACCTAACCTAACCTAGTAAAATTATGATAACCTAACCTAACCTAGTTAAAATATGGTTACCGAACCTTACCTAGTTAAAATATGGTTACCCAACCTAACCTAGTAAAATTATGATCACCTAACCTAACCTAGTAAAAATATGATTACCAAACCTAACCCCCGCCAGCAAGAACATGGAGAGTTATTTTTTTCTATGGCAAAAACTTTTTTCTTTAGAATTTAACAATTTATGAATCCATTGAGATGTAACCGGGTTCATAAAACTGCACTCATAAATTGTCAGTAAATGTAAATATAGAAGTATGTGTTTATAATATTTGGAAAGGAATATATTCTAAATATTTCCTAATGAACCTTATATCCATCACTATCACATTTCTCATCAAAACTTTCAATTTGGTCAAACCCTAATTTTTTACTAATGACCAGTTAATTGGGACATTTGACGTGAAAAGATTTAGATAAGTTTAAATCCCGCCTCAATCTTATAAAGTATATCTGCCTAAACCCTTTACCAAGTATGCAATTGGTAATTTAATATTGTTAATTATTGATGTATGTCCTCACAATTCATGAATCGATTTGAGTTGAATTTTCAACTTTAAAGATACTAGATTAAACCCAATATTGATAATTTAATTTATTTTCTACATTAACATATTTTATTTTGTCTCTCATGAAAAATTACACAAATTATGCTCTAGAGGATCAATTGTGCTTAATCTTTGTAGTGGTTTTTCAAGTGTATTTATTTGCTTTGTATGATTGTTTTGGATAAAATTAACACCTCTAAACGGAACGGGCCAAATTTTATTTTGGAGACATACATGACCTTTGAACTGAAAATGGTATTAAGTTTAATCAAAATAACATAATTTTCCAACACCTTGATTTAGTAATTATTCAGAAGAAAATAATTTTTAAAGATCGGAAAGTTTCTAAAAATAAAAAAAACAATATCTAAGATTTCTCATGTAGTTTGGTTAATATTGGAGCTGTATTTCTAAATATTAAACTTAAAAACTTTAACAAATTTCCTGATTTTATTGTAAATTTTTTAAGAGAAAGAACAAAAATGTTTTTTAAAGTGGTTTATTTCTATTATGCATCGGCCATATTTATCTACCTAAACGTATGCCGCACACAATGTACAATGTACATCCTACATATATTAGATTTTCTGTATCTTTAAAAAAATTGAGTTTTTACCATTCACGTTGCAACCCGATGTTGTAGAACTTTGATATTTCAAACTTAAAATTCTGTTAGATCAAATAATCTAAGTTTAGAATATGAAAGGAATTCACCATTATATTGCAAAGATAGAGGGATTCAGAAATGTGACAAAAACTTAGAATTCCTTTACAAATAAATCAAGAAAACTTTTAAGTGTCAAAAAATATTTACAACAAGTAATAATAAACCCCAAACAAGACGGAGAAATTGTTTTGGTGATATTTTTAGAAACTTTAACAAATTATTTCCTTCTTAAAAATAGTTTAAAATTAAGTTGTTGGGGAATTATGTAATCTTGATTAATTTGAATACCATAACTCAGTACTTTGAATTCCTAGTAAACCTATACACCATTATCTAAATACCAGACTTAGCACTGCATTAATTAAATTAAATTCAATTAACAACACCGAGACAAACCAGGGGGTAGGGAGAAGCTTAGCAAAAAAGTATCGAGTGAACAGCCGAGAGTAATGATAAAGAGTAAAGAGTAATGATAAAGAGTAGAGAGTAATGATAAAGAGTAGAGAGTAATGATAAAGAGTAGAGAGTTATGATAAAGAGTAGAGAGTAATAATAAAGAGTAAAGAGTAATGATAAAGAGTAGAGAGGAATAATAAAGAACAGAGAGTAATGATAAACAGTAGAGAGTAATGATAAAGAGTAGAGAGTAATGATAAAGAGTAGAAAGTAATGGTAAAGAGTAAAGAGTAATGATAACGAGTATAGATAGGAAAGATAAAGAGTAGAGAGTAATGATGAAGAGTAGACAGCATTGGTTGAGTTAAGGCTAATGATAAAGAGTAGAGAGTAATGATAAAGAGTAGAGAGTAATGATAAAGAGGAAAAAGGAAAAGTGATGAATAAAGATCAAAAAGTAAAATTGAGTTTTAAAAATTTATGTTAAGTTTCTTTATTATCCCAGAAAATACCAAAAGCCTTAGGATAGAGAATAATAAATGATAATACACGCTATCCATTTTAAAAATTATAAAGATTATGTAGAAATTTGCATATATATAATGTGCTAAATTTAAAATGACTTGTTTATGCCTGAGGGAAAAGAGATATTTGCAAAGCTATTTGCAAAATTCTCCAGTGTAGTGCTCACCATGAACAAGCGTTTATTATAAAATTATTTATGATTTATTTTAAATGAATTCGAATTCGACCAGACCAGAGAGCGTTCTTTTCTTCTTAAAGAGCTACGTCTCGGCCCATTAAAAGAGCGCACCTCTTTCTTAAGCAAACCTCGTCTAAATGTTACGATTTCAACTCGTTTTTCGCCGCATCTCATATTTTGTCTGGGTATCAAATTCACATCCCCCCCATGTGACCCCCCACGTAGTTTCTCATGGTTTTGAATTGAGCAGCTTGGAGCAACAGCTTGACAGCTTTGACAGTGAAATTTGAACCCAGAAGAAAGCCCGTTTGTTTCGACGCTTTTTGAAGCATTTTCTGCGCAGAAAAAGGTCACCAAAGACTGCATATTTCAGCGCCTTTTAAAAGCAATCTCTGCGCCGAAAAGAGCGAAAAAAACTGCTAGTTAAACCGCGCAAGAAAACGTTTTTTTCGGCGGCAAAATTTTTGCTTTGAAATTAAAAAAAA